ACTACGACGATTGGCTATGCGATTAAGAGGTCAGTTGGGGCCAGATTGACTGATTGAGGATCAAACGAGCTTGGGTTGCACGGGGTTCGTTCGACTGGTCGCGTATGCGGGATGGTTCAAATGGATACATGAGATCGGGTCAGGCGTTGGTAGCAGTAGCCGGATGCACAGGTTGCCTGCAAAGGGTCAGGCCCAAGCTGCATGGAAATGAGGGAGTGTTTTTTGGGTTGACTTCCTGTGGCTGTATATATGAATGAATAGAGTGGATTCTTCGTGCGGATTCGCATGAAAGAGTGGTAAAGATAGTGAGGTGTTATGCTTCCTGTGTATACGTGCGACACAGAGAAAGAAGAGGGAGAGACGGGGCATTCCTGCATGTGAATGAACAAAGAAAGTAGCGAGCGCTTGAATGTCGAATGGCCGCCCTCAGATGACTCCTGCACTAAGTTATGTGAAAATGAGCAGCTGGTTGTGTCGTTTGAGCGAAAGATTATAGGTGTGTTTGGAACAGCTGCAGCTGTCGGTAAAACAGGTTGTAAAACTATTATGCAGAGAGCTACTTTTTGAAGTTACTATACACAAAGCATTATATTTTATTTAGAAAATATAACTGTCGAATTGTTGTGCTAGAACTGCATCAGAATTAACGACCATTATACCATTATATATATTGAAATGAAAGAAAATTATTTAAATATAATTTTTTTTTTAAATTTTATATGATAACAAACTAAAACTAATGATTTTAAATTGAAATTGTTATCAGTTTTATGAAATATTTAATTAATAACGATTCAATTTTTTTTTTTTTTATGAAAAAGCACTTTGCATACTTAATAATAGTTGGGATAATGCATGTTAGGGACAACAAATAAAACGAGCCGCCATTGCATCATCCATTTATCAAAACCTTATCTTGGAGATCACTCTAACTCTACACTTATTTTCTACAGCAGCATCATCCATTTATCAATGAATGAATCCCCTCACTGGCTTCTACTAAAAGGAAGAACGAAAGAAGCCACCGAAACACTTAAAAATCTCACCTTTTGTGAGAAGCAGAGCTTCTTCTCGATTTGACAAAAATCGAAATCACAGGTGCGGTAGAAAATAATATCATCTCGACAGCGGGTATTCTATATGGGAAGCGATGGGCGGTCTAACGGCTATCAGCGATTATAGCGGTGAGCTTCGGTGTCGGCACGGTTTACTACGGCATGTCGCTAAACCCCGATAACCTTAGTGCCTACCTTTACCTCATCTCAATAGTGTTGTGGAATCGATGATGGTGGCAATGGGCAGGCGAAGGAGATTTTTGTCTTTTGGGGTATTTGGTACTATGATATTGTTTGCCTGATTGTTCAAACGTAAGCTCGACGAAGGGCTGAAGGCACGAAGGCAGAGGCAGGAAATTTGGAATTGATCTAGAAGGACTAGGGTATAAAATTTCAACAGGATCTCATCCAAGGAGATGAAGGGTATATACACCATTTGTCATATCGGAACCGTGGACTTCTATTTGGTCGCCAAAAGTAAGATGTGGACGTGCAAATTTTACCACACCTTGCTAAAAAGCATTATCCCAAACAGTTACATGATTGCGTCTTACAACGTAAAGCAGACGAGACGGTATCCCAAGCCCGCCCCGCCCTACATTGTTTGGTAGTGAACCGTGTGTGGTGGGGCCACGAGGTGGGATGGGTCGAACCCACTTATCGGGATGAAGGTGCAAGCAACAGGATTTGGGCGGAATGAGTCAACACTTGTAGGACAGACGTCAAGTGCTTAAAGAAGAAGATGCTACTAGTTTTAGTTCTATCAAGAGGAGAAGCCTTTGACCTTAATAAGGGAAAATTACATTTGGACTTCTATACAAAGAAAATAAGAGAATAAAAACAATATTATTGATACGTCACCAAAAATATCTTTAGCTAGCATGAATCTCAAGGCATATTCAAACTATGATCCCTCCTGTGATGCTCCATAATCAAAATTTAAATAATTTTTTCTTTTAATTTACACAACAATAGCTACCTAATATCAGCAGAAATTAAATTATCGATCAAAACATAAATATAAATATATTTATTCATTTCCCCAAATATTATATACACTACTCAGGATCTATATAATCATATCACAACACTTTTATCCTGAGTACGAAAGAAAAACTAAAATAACAAGAACTTAAATTTGAAGAAATCCTGATCAGTCTCACACTCCTATTCATTTGCCCTGACCTAAAAATATTTAACCATATATAATGAGCTCACAAGCCCAACAAGCAACCAAATCTATAACTGACCTCAACGTACGATAAACAAGCAATATGCATGTCAGCAATCAAATCATAATAGTAACATTCACATGATCATAGGGAAATATAATAGAGAAATTGATAAATCAATACAGGTGTCGACTCACTAAAGTATTTGTCGTATCAATACTACAATCAGTTGAGAAATTATATAAACATCAAATCAAAACATCAATAAAGACTATCACAATCATGTCAACATAGTAAAATCATATAAAAATAACTATATCCGTGTATCACATGCTCAGAAATATCATATCAGTGTCAACATAATGTCAATGTCCATTGCACTTGCTCAATATATATCACATGATCAACTTGTTCTAACGGTGGGCAACAAAATCGTACTAAGCAAAAATTTACATTTTCAAAAATTAACAAACTTAGAGATTGTGTAAAACATTATTCTAAAGCTTTAATTGAACTGAAACACTATTTTTAGGTGTCAAAAGAAATTTCAGAGTAAGCAAAAATCACAACTTTTTCAAAATCATCAGGCGAAAAATTTCAAATAAATACTAAAAAATTCATTAAAATGTTTTTTCGGCTTCAAAAATATCAATAAAATAATTTTATTTACAAAATATTGGTTAAACAGTTTGCAAAATGGACATCTAACGATCCAAAAATCCCCACTTGTACCGACAGGTATCAATTTCTTAAGAATTTTTAGAGTGTCAAAAATTATGAAAAAAATCTTGTAATTAAAACACAATGATACCTATTTTATGGGAAAGATAATTTTTAAATTTGACTTATAATGACTTCTAAAAAAATTTATTGTTTGGGTTATTACACCTCCAACCTCCATTACACGCTGATTACATTCCCTCCGACCTCCATCGCCTGCCTACTATGATCCCTCTGACCTCCATCACCTGTCGACTATAGTCCCTTGGACCACCGTCGCCCACCGACTATAATCTGTCCGACCTCCATCGACCGCTGACAATGGGCCCTCTGACCATCGTTGCCCATCGGCTATATTCCCTCTGACCATCGTCGCCCATCGACTACTATCCCTCCCATCTCTGTCGCTCGTCGAACATAATCCCTCCAACCTCTTTTGCCCACATACTACTATCACTCTGACCACCATCGCCCACCGACTATGATCCCTCTGATTACCATCACCCGCCAACTATGGTCCCTCCGACTTCCTTCATCAGCCAACTACGATCCCTCTGACCTCCTTCGACCGCCGCTATAGTCCCTCGGACCTCTGTTGCCAGATGACTATGGTTCCTGCGACCTACGTCACATGCCGACTACGGTCCTTCCAACCTCCAATGCCTCCGACCTCCATCGCCCTCCGACTACGGTTCTTCCAACCTCCGTCACCCACCGACTACTATCCCTCTGACCACCGTCACTTGCGGTCCTACCGACTAAATGAACAGACCAACACTCTCTTAAGAAAAAACTCTCATATCACAAGATTTTTCCCATTCCCACCATGTAATGTGTTATATATAATGTATATTTTCTACATTGAGCCAAAGCCTTCCCCCAAGGAAGGGCCTCATTTGTAATCAACAATAAACACTAGTATAATCATTTTAACTAGGTCAGACCCCGTGATTTTTTCCCTTTCAGGATTTCCCACGTAAAAATCCTTGTGTCGATCTCTTATGACTCTTGCATCCCTCTCTCTTATCTGTATGTGTAGTGGATCTTCATTCAAAGCTAAGACAATAAGCTTTTTATCTCTCTACTATCGTGAACGTTCCAGCCCGTAACAAGTATAAATAACATCTTCTCCATGTCTAGTACTTATCTTCGCAACATGTAGTTCATTTTCACTTGTTCAATGATATATATAAAGTGATGTATTTATCTTTATCATAAGTTTTATATGAAGTGTAATATCCCCATGTGCCAATTTAAAATTTAGTAGATTGTTCGATCACTTTGTAGTTGTGTTTATAAGTGAACTTACTGGACCACATAAATTTTTGTATGCCTATGTAAAATTTTTGTAATTGATTTCTTTTGTTCTTGTTTTTTCAAGCTAATATTAAGCTAACTATAAAGGCTTACAATATTTATAGAATCTAATGTCAAGAATGTTGAAAGGAAAGATTGGCTTTAAAATAGTTTCGTATACATGCATAAGGGAGCTTATTAAAATTAAAAGGAAACTGTGAAGATGATTAGATGAATGTTTATAGATATATATTTAAAATGCTTTGCATTTGGTGATCAAATCAAATGCCTAAAATTCAATGCTACTTCCTTAAATTTTTTATATTATAGAAAGATATCCCTGGTCATGAAAGATGCCTCTAAATTTCAAATGCTATCTTGTTTTAAATATAATCTTTATATGTTACATATGAATTTCAATAGACAAATTTATGGCCTTCTGGTTTCTTTTAAAAAAAATTACCACTGGCTTAATACGCTTATTCCTCCATTCCCTCTTCTCTGCGCCATATTTTACATACAGCTTCAGAAGAGATATCTTCATATTACTTCTCTGAAGTTTCAATGGTTTAGTGGCATTGTGATAGTGATTTGTCAGTTAAACATTCAGCAATCTCAATCAGAGGGGAGGAATATATTAAAGAAAATAGCATGTGCTTTTGAAAATAATAAAACATATCCTTTCCTAATAGTTTTAACTCAGCGTCTTTAAAAAACATGAAATGTTTAACGTAACAAAGTTTCTAATAGAACTTACTTCTTGTAAGAAGTCGGCAACTCCCTTCCTCTTGGGGCATTCAAAACCCATGAACTTAAAGAATTCGAGCACAGCTTCACGAGGACCTTGATAAACAATACGTCCTTCAGAAAGGAGGATGATTTCGTCAAAGAGCTCATAAGTTTCAGGTGCTGGCTGAAGCAAGGAGACAACGGCGGTTCCCCCAAGAATACTGACAATTTGTTTTAGTGAGTTCACTATCTGAAAAGTTGTAGAGCTATCAAGGCCTGTTGATATTTCATCCATGAACAAGGCTTGTGCTGGACCAACGATCATCTCGCCTATGTCATCATAGATTTGTTAACTATAAAATTCTATGCAGGTTCTTGATCAGAAGAGCGATGATAGCTTAATGAATTGTGAAACTAAGTAAATTTACCTATGGTGACACGCTTTCTTTGTCCTCCAGAAACACCTCTTAACATTTCATTGCCTACCAGGACATCAGCACAAATTTCCAATCCCAGAATCTATTACCAAATTTAAAAAAGGTTAACATTACCTAATTTTTTTGTTTCTTACTTCCTCCTTGATTTTTAATCAGTTATTTTTAGGTCAACTACAAAGAATACCTTCAAAGTATAATCTGTGATCACGCCAGTTTCGTTCCCTTGAATTGATGACGCCTGGAAAATTAAACATGTAATATTGTAGTCTTACATTTTATTTGATTTATTTCAAGGTGATAGTTTCATAATATAATAAAAGAATTTTGGTTTAATGGATTGAAATAACAAGTTTATCAATGAATTAATTGTTAATTGTTCATTTAACCTTCATGAAGACATCTATATCAGCATCAGGTTTGATATTTTCAGCCTTCTCTCTCCTTAGCATTTCAGTCAACATATCTGCAAGCATAGACAGGAAAACAGGTTGAGTAAATGTTGCAACCATATAAATTTTTGGGCTTTTTTCATCATGTAGAATTTAGATTTTTTCCTCACCATAACGATATCCAACCCCTTGACATCTAGCAGAGAATGCAAGGGTTTCTCTCACTGTCATCTCTCCTATGTGGAGATCATCTTGGCTTATATAAGCCGCTGTTCTTTGTGGAACAAATTCATCCATTGTATGACCATTATATGTCACATTTCCAGAAACCTGCATCAGTTTCTTTTAATATATTTGCTTTCATTGGCTTACGCTTCAATAGATTATAAAACACTTCAGTAAATTTAAAAACTTAAGATAATTAAAGTTACTGTAGAAATTATTAGACCTTAAGATCTGAACCTAGCTTCCCAGCAAGAGCCAATAACAGTGTAGTCTTCCCTGAACCGGGGGGTCCCAAAAGCAGTGTCATCCTGTAAATTTCATTCTCATTAGCTAACCATTAGATAAATAAAAAGTGAGAGACATTTAGATACCTTTGTGGCTTGATGATTCCACTAACATCGTTGAGTACGGTAAATGGTATTTTCTTGTTTGGAAGTATATGAAGGTAGTTGGCCATGAACTACATCAAAATTAAAAAAAAAAAAAATGGTAACAAATCCATCGCAGCTTTGAGCTCTGCGTACTCAAAACAAAAGTATCAGAAAATTCCACGATGAACAGTTCGTATACCTCAACTGTGTTAAGAACTGAATTGACGAAGGAGGGCAAGTTTCGGCTTCCCATATGTGTTTGAGCCTCAACATTTAGAAGCTCATACCGCACTTCAATGGTTGGATAATCAATTCCCACTCTGGGAATCAACAAAGCAGCATTAGGAATTAACAAAAACGAACTTCATAAAACGAAGTCTATCTAACTTGACACTTATAACTCATACCTATTGAATCTTTCCTTGAGCTTGAGAAGAAACCTCTCATTGTCTTCTCCATCTCTTAAAAGTCTCTCAAGCAGGTTTCTCCGATCCACAAAGCCGAGGTTCTTGATCCCGATCTCTTTAAGCCCACCATCTTCAAATTTCAAAATTCCCCACCTTGCCCTGTCGTAAGTTGGAAGCTTCTGGACCGCAGCCCATCTCAAATCCCACTCCTCTTCTTCGTCTCTCTGCCTCGAAGAAGATCTGGAAGATATTGTGCCATCACCGGTTATTGAGAAAGGAATGGCGCTGCTTCTTGACAGGTACGGATCCCCTCCCAGCATTTTTTTTGTTGTTGGAGAATGAAGAGGAAAGAGGGAAAGAATGATTTAAATAGAGCAAAGGAAACCGTTGGCCTTTAGGTGCTGGATTGGCACTGATTTTCCTTCATTTACGTATTTAATTATGCTAAAGTTAAATTGTCAAAATTATGGTGAAATAGGTGAAATTATTAGGGATAATAGAGGGGTTATCAATATGAGCAGGAGTAAAATCCTTATTGAGACGTTTGAAAATGCTGGATTGTCAAATTAGCAATTTCATCAACATCCTCAGTAATAAAGCCATCATCACGATGGATTTTATTAATGGAGTAATAAAGCCATCATCACGATGGATTTTATTAATGGAGTTTTTGGCACATTTCCTCCTAAACAACACATGAAAATATTTGATGTTATTATCACCTTCAACAAGGTGCTTCGCAACCGCTTTTTATTTCCAAAATGCTTCCTCCTGAGCTTGTAATTTAAAGATACAATCTTTAGCATCTCTCAGTAAACTAAAATTCTTGTTAGAAGGAAACAATTGAAGTTAAGCTCAATAGTGTTCACTTTATCTTCAGTATTTAATATATTAGTAAAAATATTTTTAAAAATATTATGATTCCAACAATTGATAATTTGCTTAAGTCATCTCAGTTTAAACCAAAGTCTCTTTATATCAAAGATAGAGTTATCCAGATGTAAAGGAACATGCCAATTTTCCTAGAACAAGTACATAAAAGAATCATGAAGCAACCACATATTTTGAAATCTAAATTGAGGCAAATAACTCATATACCTAGTCTTAAGAGTAATTAACATTGGAGAATGGTCAAAGAGAGTATGACTAAGATGCTCAACATAAATATAATTAAAAGAGTTCAACAAAAAATCATTAAACAACACCCGATCCAACCATTGCCATAAATGACCATGATTCCAAGTAAATTTATTACCAGAGAAGCTAGTGTCATCTAAATTACAATCCATAATCATATTATTAAAATCGTCCATAGAGTGATAGATAGGAATAGAGTCGCCAACACATTCAGAGGGATTTAAAATAGTGTTAAAATCACCACCAATAAGCCAGGGCAAGTTTTAAATACTATGAAAACTAGTGAGTTGCTTGCATAAAACTTTTCTAGTATTGCGAGAAGAAGCAGCATATACAAAAGAGGCACAATAGTTCAAATTTAAAACTTTAATATTACAGTGCAAAACTTGAGTAAAATATCCAATAACCAAATCTTATTGGCAGAATTCGAAAAAGAATACTTAAAACCCAAAAATATTAGTAGTACTAAGTAATTTAGCAGAAGTAATGAGAGGTTCAAGCAAAACAAGAATATAAATTTTGTAAATACGACATAAGTTCTTAACCCTTAACCTAGAAGGGAAACAACCAATGCCCTAACATTCCAAATAATAGATTTAATCATAAAAAAAGTGCTAATAAGTAGTTTGCAAATGGGTGGTCCTAGGAGATTGTAATATTATGTTCTTGTTTTTCCTATCTTTCATATTTTGAAACTTGATATACTTAGTGTCATTATCATCTTTAGCAAAATATTTAGCCACAATATCTATATCCTCCAAATCAATAAAGCATTACCATGATAATGAGAGTTTGAGAGAAGTTTACTATCAATGTGCATACCTGCCTGCCTTACCTCCTGAGGCAATTCACCCTCCTAAAAGGTATAGCCATCTTCCACACTTTCTTTATTATTCTTGTCATTATCAACATTTCCTTTCACAAAAATAAGCTGGCCATCCTCCTGATCATTCACAACAGATTGAGAAGTCACAATATTAGTACAAACATTATTGATCATCATAAAGTCCATATCAGACAATTTTTTGTTAAAAATATAAGGACTAATAGAAGATTATATAAGAATATTTTGATTAGTAGTGATAGACAACATTTGCTCATCCATATTTTCACAACTGATAGATAAGAAAGAGATAGAGTTAATATTATCTCCCTGTACACGCATCAAGTAATTGACATTGGTGGAAGGTGGTTCTTTATGAGCAATGGGAAATGGTATTGGGCCGTCAATATTATCCCGCGGCTTAGAAGTATTGCCCTCAACCACTCTATCATTAGGAATAAGAATCTCATTATCATGAGAAGCCGAAGGAACAACATTTCCTTACGATGAGGATGTAATTGGTGATACCCATTTATAACATGGCCATGTATTTTATAGTGAGAATAAAAAATGGGCAAATTTTCAATATCAACTTTTTGGAAATATATAACCATTGAACTTCGACCCAATCTAGATCTCATTAGGATGTTTCTTAGATTTGTCCAACTTGACTAAAACATGATCCATAGATGGATGTGAGATAGAAGTAGTAGCTTGGCCCGTTTGCAGAGGCCTACCAAAAATCGATGCAAGGCCAAATAAAATTTGAGAATTATAGAAATGAAGTCTCAAATTTGGGAAGGAGATCCACATAGGAGCAATAGGGGATTCCTCACGAACATCAAAACTCATGGTCCATTTGAGTAACCGCATCTGGCAAGCTTAAATATAGTAGAATCTCCTATAAAAAATGTAGCTATAATCAAGATCATTAGAGAGTTGAATTGCAATGTGCCATTGATCCAACAAATCAATATGAAAGGAACCTAAAAGTTTTAGATTAATAAAAAATTTGTGTATAACATCCAGATTTGGTCACCTAAGAAGGAACTTGCCAACCAAAGTTAAAGCAAAAGGAGCATCCAGCTGAGAGACCACAAAATCTTAAAGGAAGTTTGAACAAATTGAAGTTTAGTAGCAAAAGAAGAAGAGCCAACCAAAATATTTTTAAAAGAACAATATTTTCCAATAGGAAATGAAGAAGATGATGGGATTGATGATGACAGAGTCGTCATCTCCCCAAGCCAGAAAAATGAAAAGAAACTCATAACAAAACACGAAATGAGCAAAGAATCAAAAAAGAAAACAAATCAAAGTGAAAAAAAGTAACAAATCCATGCCACAAGAGGGGAAATTGGAGCTCACGCAAGGAAACCCTAGATTGCCAAAGAGTTGCCAGAGAGCACACGCGCAAACTGATGATAAAGTTTTGAAAGTCAAAAAGTTTGATGGGAGGAATAAGTTTTTTCTTTAATATATGAAGTGTTTTTTATTTACTTTAAGTGCACAATCTGCTTTATTTTAGATATTTATAAGTAATATTATGCTCAGCCCTATATATTTCTTATGAACTACTTTTATTGGTTAAATGCATAATAAATGAATTATTTGAAAGTTTAGATTGATGTGTGTGACTTGTTGAGTAGTGTTGGTTCACAATGTACAGTTAGGTCCAAGTTTTAATTTTTTTTCATTAGATTCTGAGGCATTAAAAGCTTGACCGTTGCCATATGGTACAGTGCCTTAGAAATTGGAGTAATCCCCACAACTTGATCTATAGTGAATTTGTTCTCATGATCAGGGTGTAAGCAAGAAAAATCATTAGGAAACACAAGCAAATTTTTGGACTATTAGAACATATTTTAAACTGATGTTTGGCATGTAGCTATCCACCATGTGAGCAAGGTACCTAACACAACCTTGAAATATCAGCTTAAGGGATCTATTTATTCATAAAAAACATGCTAATACTCCTCTGATACCATCAAAATTAAAGGTTCTCACACCTAGTATATAAATGTTTATCCTTCTCTTATGATAATCTATCGCGGCATGATATCTATATAGCTAGTCCATTCTTAATATTATATCAAACTCTGCTAGTTGAAATACAATAAGTGTCACAAATATATGCTTATTATTAATAATATTATCGCATTCATGAACACATTGAGTAATTGTCAAACTATTTTTGTAGCTTATCCTAGCTTTCTCAACTAATTCATCAGTTTTGTGGAGTCCGCCATGGGAAAATATTGCTCAAGATATAATTTTTTAAAAAAATAATTATGTCGATGGCTCTCCTACCAGCCATCGTATGCTTAATCAATTCTTTAGATAATCAAGATTTATACAATTCAGATTACATAATCAAGATTTATACATCCATGAATAATGGCAATGCATTCTTTCCATTTTTTTAAGATATTGTCCTGAAATATGAATGTGTTATTTAAATTGATAGAATTATTAAAATAAAAAACATTAGATGAATGGACAACAAAATGAACTCATAGTTATTTACAATGGCAGTCACTTTTGCGCATATAATATACAAAATATTAGCTGTATATATATATAGCATTAAAAGAATCATCATTATGCAATAATGGTTTCCAGCTGGAAAAAAAATATTAAATCTCTGATGATTTAGAAACAAAATTCTCATTAAATTTTTTCCAAATGAATCTCAGCAGGAAGTTATCCTATACAAGACAAGATATGTTGTAATTATGTTTTGGACATGCATTTTTAATAGCATCAGGGATTTTCTCAATGTGTCAATAAAATAGTCGTTGGATTAATTGACTGAATTATATTTTTAAGAATAATTAAAACTATCCAAAGTAAAATAAAAAAAAAAACCATATTATTCACAAACAAAATTGTACATAGTATAATACATTCATTGAAAGCAAATCTCTTCACGAGCAATAAATAAATAAATCAGTAAAAATAAAATGTAAACATGCCAATTCTTTATGTATGAATACTAAAATACTTGCCAAAAGCTAATTCCAAAAGAAAAAAAATTTTAAGCAAAAAAAAAAAAGTTATAGATTGAGTGAATAAGACTTTGTTTGAATAATTCTCTTATTGTTTTACTCTTTAAACTGCAACCATAATTTTTATTTGATCACTATTGTTTCTCTACTCTTATGAAATTTTTAAGCTAGGAAGCTGCTTCCTACAACATTTTTTTTAAAAAAAAATCATTTTCTTCACAACAATTTTATAATTATATTTATAAAAGGTGTGGCCATTCCAAACTGACTCAAAGTTACTTTTCTCATAACAACATCGTAACCAAATTTATAAAAAGCTTCAGCTATCCCAAACAAACCTCAAATTTTTTAAGCTATTAGTTAAATTCCAAGGATTTGCTTGCCCATTTTTGTTGAACAAGCAATTGATGAAAATTCTTAATGATTGCATTCTATTATCAATAAGGTTGTGTCAACTACAAGATTATAGCTCGCCTTGATATGTTGGTTCAGAGCTTTGGCTACCAACGAGAAAGTCATGGGTTCAAAGCTTGCGCATGTGATGTATGTTTGAATTTGGCTTTAATTGAATCAAAAATCTCCAAAAAAAAATGGCAAATTTTTTTATTAAATAATAGCTCTTATTGCACTTGGAAATGATGATTAATTAATGTTGAGTGAAGAGAAGGTCAATGCTTCTATGTATCAAATGCCATTTAAATAATACTTTTCATTAATTTTCTCTAAGTCTTATCTTAACATTTTCATGAAACAATTGCAACTAATTGTTTATGCTTTTTAAAATAGTAAGCATTTTTCCATTCCAATAAATAGTTATGTTTAGTAAAGCTTTAAAAAATATCTGAAATTATCCCCAATTATTAGAAATGGCAGTGCTACGATGAATTAAAATTTTGATGCAAATATTTTATTCTATGATAATTTTAATAAGATTATGAGTAAAATAGATTGTCATATTGAATTAAATTTATTTAGAGTATAAAATGCAGGATATAAATTATTAATTACTCTTTATTTTTTGATTTTGAAGCATTTGGAGTAAGAATGAAATAAAATGAAGATAAAAGTTGTGGACAATTTGAGTTGGGGCTACTTAGTTGTTAAGTATTTAGAACACATGAGTATTTTAAATGCAATTTAAATTAAATAAGTTCACAAATTTCCTTTTTTTAATATTTCTCCTAAACTATGAAATGCATTGCCTTTTGATTAATATCTATAGGCACAATAAGGATGATTGCTAGCAGTCAGTTTGATTCTGACACTAGGTCATTCACATGGGGTTAGGGTTGAGGACAATGGGTGTAATGTTGTTGAGACTAAAGTGTGGGGTTAGGGATGGCACAAACAGCATGAATGGAGCACATGGTTATCGAATACAAGGTTTGGCTTATTGATAGGGAGTTGAAGGACATGGAGTTTGGGGTGACACATGTTGCAAGCTAATAAATTTGGAATTCTTCTAAGGGGCTGTTGGGTTGTATGAAAAAAAAATGTTGTGTAAAATGAATATTTTGGAGTTGTTTGGATGATTGTAAAAAGGATGCACGAGATTTTATTTTATTTTATTGGTTTGAAGTAAAATTAATCAATATAATTAAAGTGCATAAAAATAGTGGTCAGTCGTGGCCAACGGTGGTGGTGGGTTAGCTATGGTGGTGGATGACGGCGGCAATGGGTGGAGGCTTGCAATGGCTGGCTGGCGGGGACAATGGCAGGTGAGTTTTGGGTGTATTTAGAAATCGCCCAAATTGGAGGAATTCCAAATATACTGGATTTGAACTAGAGTGTGAATTCCTCTTACTTCAAATTTTACGCTGTATTCCTTTTACTTCAAACCAAACACTAATATTTTCAAAGCCCTTGCATTTGGAATACTTTACACCCCATTTATAGCAAACCAAATAGCCCCCAAGTGAATTCATAATTCCTTAAAAATGAGCTATCTGAGCTATTTAAACTCCATAAAGCAATACACTGCATCCTTTTTACTTCACACAAATAGCTTAATAATTAGAATGCATGCCTTCATTTTACTTTACACATCTAACGCACCAAATAAATGTCACTTAGTTTCCTAGGATACACAGCTGGAATAAGAAATAAGAAAACTATGTTTAAAATATTGAGTGATAGTAAATAAATCCAATTTTAAAAATATAATTTGCTTTTTAAGTATGATTA